CGGTGGTCTGCTAATTCCAGGTGAGCAGGTCGGAGTCCAGCCCCCCGTAGCCCTCGATCATCCGCTCCGTCTCCTTGGCGTGCTCGATGACCTGCGGCGGGGCCAACGGTGAGCACCGGGTGCCGGCACCCCAGCGGAACGCTCCCCCCAACCCCAACGCCGTTCCCTACCTTGCCCAGACGCCTGCCCTCCACCTCCAGCACCTTCATCTTGGAGAAGTAGTGGTAGAAGGCCACCACGTAGGTGATGATGGACTTCTCGTCAGGGTTCTCCGTGAACACATCTGCCCAGCACGAGCGAGAGGCGTCAGTCCTGACCCAGCCTCTGCATCGCCCCGACACCACCCCACTGATGATGGGTCACCACGGCCTCATGATGTCCCCCCGCCTTGCTCCCACCCAGGCTCCCCCCCTTCCATGGGGTGGAACCTTCTCTGTCTCTCCACGGGGCCTGGGAACATCCCAGGCTGTAATGGGGAAACTGGGGCAGGGGGGTTGGCAGTGGCAGCCTCACCTTCAGGGTCGAGGAGTGGGGTGATGCCCAGGTGCCGCTCCGCCACGCTGAATGCGTGCTCCAGGTTGTGCCGGGCATTGGATTTGGTGAGGTTTTGGAAGTCAACCAGCTCAGGCCTGGGGACAGAGGGCGTGGGACAGCGGTCGCACACCCGTGGGACATCCCCCGGTGCCACCGTCACCCCAGCATGTCCCAGTGCCCACCTCCGTGTCACCTACCTGTGCCTGTGGATGAGGGCGTTGAAGGCCAGTCCATCCTTCCAGCTCGAGGTGAAGTTGGTGACGTTCACGTGGGGGTACCTGCAATGGGGACAGGGCATCACCGTCACCCTCCAGGCACTCCCAGACCCCAGCGCGGTGGGGTGTGGGTCCCACCACCTACCCCGCTGTCTTCATCTGGCACCAGAGCAGCAGCGCGTCCCTGGCGGAGCGCGTTTCCCGGCCCTCCTGCGTCTGCACGATGATGTCCTGGATCTGGGGACAAAAAGGACATCCCGGGGTTGGAAAAGCACATCCATGGAGGAGGGCTCCCGCTCGGGAACGAGCTGTGGGGTGCTGAGCAGAGGTATACCCCCCACCCAACTGGTCCCACCTGGAAGCGGAGGATGATGGTCCAGATGAGGCCGAGGACGAGGCGGTGGTTGCCATCCACAATGTCGTGGGAGCCCATGTTCTCCAGGTGCACCCGCTGCTCCTTCAGGAACTGCAGCGCCTTGTCCACGTTCTCCAGGCAGTGGATCCTCATCCGGCCCTTGGTGGGCTTGGGCTGGGGCACGACAGCGCTCAGCACCCTCCCCTCCGCACCGAGTACCCCCACCCCTGCCCGGGGACACTGCTGCTGCCACCCCAACCCTGGTGGAGCCTTGCTCAACGCCAAGGTCAACAACCTCGGTGGAGCACCAGAGGGCTTGGGGCATGGCATGGCATGGCATGGCATGGCATGGCATGGCATGGCATGGCATGGCATGGCATGGCATGGCATGGCATGGCATGGCATGGCATGGCATGGCATGGCATGGCATGGCATGGCATGGCATGGCATGGCATGGCATGGCATGGCATGGCATGGCATGAGTCCCAGGGTCCCTAGCTGGATGGGAGTCCTACCAGAAGCTCTCCTGACAGCACCTCCAGCAACTTGATGAGCACCCGCCCGTCCCGGAGGTCCATGTAGAGGTCCGAGATGCGGCAGGTGACGCGAGCCAAGTGCGAATTCACCCACTTGGTGAAGGTTTTCTTCTGCACGGCCTCCCGCTCGTCTGCAACGAGAGTGGGCACGGTGACACCGGTGGCAGGGACAACCAGGGGAGGACGGAGGGGACCCGAGAGCCATCCCCGACCTGCCAGAGCTTTGATGCGGGAGCGCTCGAAGAGCCGCGCCGAGCTGTTGTCGTTGTCCAGCTCATCGTCGGAGGCGTCCCAGCGGACGTTGATGCGGCTGTACT